GGTGGAGGGAGGAGGAGGAAGAGGAGGAGGAGGAGGAGGAGGAGGATGCGGAGGTGGAGGGAGGAGGAGGCGGAGGAGGAGGAGGAGGCGGAGGAGGAGGAGGAGGAGGAGGAGGAGGAGGAGGGATGAGGAGGAGGATGAGCAGCGTGGGACTGCGACTGGGGGCTGGCGAAGAAGGAGGGAATGGGGAAGAAGGGAGGAGGGAGGATGAGGGAGGAGGGGCGAGGAGGGACGAGAGACGATGGGGGACGAGTATGGGATGAGTGGTGCCCCGTGTCCTGAGAGGAGGGACGTCGAGGTGGGTTGGCGGAGGAGGAGGATCCTGCCCGTCCTCGTCGTGCTGCGCCCGCAGGCCAGGGCGCCGCCGGAGGCCGCCGAGGATCGCGGACCGCCCGCGCGTGGTGTGGCGCGGCGGCCATTGGGCCCACGCCACGGGCTCGTAAGCCTGGGAAGCAGCAGGAGGACGAGGAGGACGAGGAGGGACAAAGCCTCTCTCCTTCGATCGGGGACGCTCCAACCTCTCTCTTTCTCTACTCTCTCCCTTGTCAGGTCGGTTCTGAGCTGCGTTCACTCGTAGGCGCGCCCTAGTGTGTCCTGCTCGACAGGACCTCCTGTTGCGACGTTATGCGATGCAATCAGCGTTGATTGATGTTCTGTGTGCGCCATCGCTTCAGGCACCTCTTCCTCTGCATCCGCCACCCGCTTGTCGGTTGGCATCTCACCGGCACGCGTTCGGTGGTAATCAGCTCAGCGCATCCCGCTGCTGCCCTCGCTGCGTTGGACCAACTGGCCGCGAAGCAAACAATTGTGCGCGCTTCATAAGGAGGCGACTTTTAGTTGTTGGCATGCTCGCAGCTTTCATCTCTGGCTGGACCTCACTAGCGCGTCGGAGGAATGTGCACATGTTTTTGTTGTTTTTGTTTTCTGTGTGTGTTGTGCGTGCAAGTGGTACCCTGCGCGGCATGGCTGGCACCACCACCGTCACCGCGATCCCCACGGGTTGTGCTGGCCCTTAGGGCCCCTCTCCCTCCCAGGGCGTCCACCTGCTCTCGGCTTCGAGAGGCCATGTTTCGGTGCGCGGCCCCGTCAGTTTCCCGCACCCTGCTCTCTTACGCTGCTCGCCTCAGCCTGCCCGAGATTTTGTGACCGCGGCTGGATCACGCTCGACATACGCTCGAATGCTATTTGGTTTGCTGATGCGATCGTGCTGCGCATCGCTGGACAGGGAGGAGGAAAGATAGCGATGTGCGCGTGGGGTTCTGGGGAACCCCCGCCGACACTGCTGGATCCTCTCGGGACTATGATCAGAGCGCGTTCCCAGAGATCAGCGGATGGCAGAACAAACAGTTCAAGAACAAAGGTCCGACGTTCATTGTAGATTTTTTTGTGTTCGATTCTGCAAATGCAGCTATGGAGTATTATGGACACATGTGGAGCGTTAGGGCAAGTAGGTTTGTGAGGCCCTCCTCCTTCTCCTGTTCTTTGTGCTTCTTCCCTCTGATGGCGAGGGTGGGGGAGAGGGAAGAGGTGGGGGGGGGACGGGAGAACTGCGTGGGGCAGGGGGGGGGGTCCTGCGAAGAGGGGGAGGGGGGGAGATGGCGAGGGGGTGTGGGTTGTCTCAGTCGATGCAGATATAGCGAAGACGCCGCCCTTGCCACAGACCAATATCGCCGTCGGGGGGCCGTATGGTAATGAGGGGGGGGAAGTGCATGTGGGAGGGATGTGCTGAGCGAAACTGCGAAACTCGAGTCCCCACAAGGAGTCGAAATCATCGGGCTCAGCAGGACTTTTTTGTCGTGCTTCGTGCATCATGGTGGTCAACATCGTTATGTCCGTTGTGTCCCCTATTCCCGAAATAGTGCTTGCACTTAGGGGTGCTTCCTTGAATAAGGAACACTTACTTTTCAAAAGGGGCTCGGTCGTCCTTTTGGTTTGCATGCGATCCGCTACCTTTTGGGCGGCGAGCCTTCTGGTGTTCCTTGAGATTTTGGACGCGCGGGCTGTGTTTTGTCGATGGGGGCCGCCAGAAAGGGGCTCGGCCGCTCCTTCGGACCTCGTAGACTTGCTTTGAACAAGGGGGCTTCGTTCCTCCTTACTTAATCGTTCTTTGGGCCAGGCCGCATCCTGTCACTGAGCCCGAGCGCCGGTCCGGCCAGCAGGTCGCCGTCCATGGCCGCCCGTCGCCGCCGTCCGTCGCCGCCACGGCAGTGCCGGTCTGGCCGGCTCGTGGCCACCCGCCGCCGCCCGGGGCCGTGCGTTGCCGTGGCCGCTGCCCGCATGCGCCCAGGCGCGCAGCACGGCAGCGCGTGGCCTTTGCACAGCATGCCATGGCCTCGCATGGCTTCGCATGGCTTCGCATTGCCTTTTTCATGGCGTTGCGCTGCTTGGCACCGCAGTGCCCTGCTCTGCATGGCGCTGCCTTGCCCTGCCCTGCTCTGCATTCATGCGTGTCGCTTTTTGCGCTGTTGTACATTACTCTGCGTTGCTTTGCATTGCTTTTTGCATTGCTTTGCGTTCCTTTGCATTGACTTGCATTGCTTGGCATTTCTTTGCACTGGTCTGCATTTATTTGCCTTGCATTGCATTCCACTGCGTTGCTTTGCCTTGCTTTGCATTACTTTTTACGTGTTCGCATTGCAGTATATTGCATTGCATTGCATTGCATTGCATTGCATTGCTTATCAGTGCTTTGCAAGGATGTGCAGTGTTTTGCATAGAGCATGCGTGCGCAGATATACACGTCGCACGCACACACACATACATATATATATATATATATATATATATATATATATATGTATAGCATTACATATGCACATGCGCGCGGGCATGCATTCTCGACGTCGGCACTGCTCGCAAATGCGAAGGGCGGGGGACGGTAGAGTTTGGGGCCCCTCCTGGGCCCCAGATCTTGCCGAACGCGGCGCGTTCCCCCGAGACGCCGACCGTAACATCACCATTTGATTTCGAACACTCGAAGCATTGGGTAGCGCCCGTGCACGCATACGTACACACACATACATATATCTATATATATATAGTTATATATATATATGCATGCATGCATGCATGTTTGTGTGTATGTCTGTCTGTCTGTCGGTCAGTCTGTATGCATGCATACATGTATGTATGTAAACTCATGTATGCATGCATGCATGCATGCATGTATGTAGGTATGTATGCTTGCATGTATGTATGCATGTATGTATGTATGCATGTATAGTTGTGTATGTGTATGTATGCATGTATGTATGCATGTACCTGCATATATGTATATGTATGCATGTATGCATGCATGTATGCATGTGCGTACGTAGGCATGTAATGTATGTTTGTATGCATGTATGTATGTATGTCATAAGGGGGCCTGTGGATAACTATGTATATATATATATATATAGGAGTGAGTACTTGTGCACTTACATGTGTAAATATGGAAACGATTATCTATCTCTCTAAACATATCGGTACGTATATGGGTACTGTGTGCATCTATCTATACAGCGTGTATATGTATACGCATGTAAGGATGCTTATGCCAGCATGAATGCGTCTATCGATCTAGCTAAACTTGTACACCGATTCTCTATAGAGATATACAGAGGTACATGTATAAATATAAGTTTTTTTTTTTACCTAACAGCGTAGACAGATAGGTTTCTAGTTGACTCAAAAGAGCTCACAGATCACTCCACAGGGGGGTCCGGGCAGGCGTTGGGAGTTGCCGGCCGGGCCTGTGCCGGGCTCGTTTTTCACCAACAGTCACACACTTCGTGCTCGTCGACCTCTCAGAACCCCATTCCCAGGCCACATTCTGAATAACCGGATGCAACAGTCACACACTTGGTGCTCCTTGACCTCCCAGAACGCCATTCCCGGGCCACATTTTGGATGCCCGGAGCCAACTGTAGGCCACTTCGTGCTCTTCTACTTCCCAGAACTCCATTCCCGGGCCACATTTTGGATGCCTGGAGCCAACTGTAGGCCACTTCGTGCTCTTCGAGTTCCCAGAACTCCATTCCCGGGCCACATTTTGAATGCCCGGAGCCAACTGTAGGCCACTTCGTGCTCTTCAAGTTCCCAGAACTCCATTCCTGGGCATGATTTTGAATGCCCGGAGCCAACTGTAGGCCACTTCGTGTTCTTCTAGTTCCCAGAACTCCATTCCTGGGCCACATTTTGAATGCTGAGGCAGGCTGATGCTGCGGCCGAGGCAGGCTGAGGCTGAGGCAGGCTGAGGCTGAGGCCGAGGCTGAAGGCAGACTGAGGCTGAGGCTGAAGCAGCTGAGGCTGAGGCTGAGGCAGGCTGAGGCTGAGGCTGAGGCAGGCTGATGCTGAGGCAGGCTGAGGCTGAGGCTGAGGCTGATGCAGGCTGAGGCTGAGGCAGGCTGAGGCTGAGGCCGAGGCTGAAGGCAGACTGAGGCTGAGGCTGAAGCAGGCTGAGGCTGAGGCTGAGGCTGAGGCTGAGGCTGAGGCTGAGGCAGGCTGAGGCTGAGGCAGGCTGAGGCTGAGGCTGTGACTGCGACTGCCGTTGCCGCTGCGACTGTCATCGCGAATGCGACTACGACTGCGAGAACAGCAGAATTCTACAACTGGATTTTCATCTGAATCTTAAGGGGAATGCTTTCAGATATGCTTCTACACATCGCTGTTAGGTTGCTTTGCCGGGATAATTTTTACCTAACAGCGTAGACTGATAGGTTTCTAGTTGACTCAAAAGAGCTCACAGATCACTCCACAGGGGGGTCCGGGCAGGCGTTGGGAGTTGCCGGCCGGGCCTGTGCCGGGCTCGTTTTTCACCAACAGTCACACACTTCGTGCTCGTCGACCTCTCAGAACCCCATTCCCAGGCCACATTCTGAATAACCGGATGCAACAGTCACACACTTCGTGCTCTTCGACTTCCCAGAACTCCATTCCCGGGCCACATTTTGAATGCCCGGAGCCAACTGTAGGCCACTTCGTGGTCTTCGAGTTCCCAGAACTCCATTCCGGGCACATTTTGGATGCCCGGAGCCAACTGTAGGCCACTTCGTGGTCTTCGAGTTCCCAGAACTCCATTCCGGGCCACATTTTGAATGCCCGGAGCCAACTGTAGGCCACTTCGTGGTGTTCGAGTTCCCAGAACTCCATTCCTGGGCATGATTTTGAATGCCCGGAGCCAACTGTAGGCCACTTCGTGTTCTTCGAGTTCCCAGAACTCCATTCCCGGGCCACATTTTGAATGCTGAGGCAGGCTGATGCTGAGGCTGAGGCAGGCTGAGGCTGAGGCAGGCTGAGCTGAGGCCGAGGCTGAAGGCAGACTGAGGCTGAGGCTGAAGCAGACTGAGGCTGAGGCTGAGGCAGGCTGAGGCTGAGGCTGAAGCAGGCTGATGCTGA